CAAAAAGTAATCACGAATTCACCAACATTTGAACTGACTCCGTTTTCGGAAAATGACATCTGTAACAAATATAAACTTTTAGCTTTACAAGCAGAACCGAATAACATGAAAGTTCCAATCATTACTGGCTTCTGAAGATGCACAAAATCTCTTACAAATATAGATTTATTTCGTCTTCAAGCCATTGTTCCAATACTAAAATGTCAATTCTACTTTCTAGTACACTTGGTACAATTAAAAACCTGTAGATAATTTTTTCAAATAAGGCCTTTGAAATTAGTGGAATTAGTTACTTTTGGAGTGTAAAACAATCGTTGGAAGTACTTGATAAATTGCATGCTCATAGTGGTGATTTCGAATCTGTTCGAAGTTTTGATTTTTCTACCCTATATACCACTTACTCTCATAATCACATTAAGAAAAAATTCACATACTTAATCAAATGGACATTTAAGGGCATATGATACAGTTTTGATCCCATAATGAAAATTTGATAAAAATTTGCAAATAGGCTATTTTTTACCTTATTAAATCAAATATGTAATAAAAAATATACCTTCAAGTGCTACTTTTTGAGTAAAATAAGTTCGAAATTTCAGATATTTGCTCAAAATTCGGATTTGTGGACTTATTTTTCCTTCCGACAGAAATGCATAACTTTTTTGTTTTAAAAAATAAACACAAGCTGTTTTTTCTTAAATTATTTGTAATTTCTGTTTTATATAAGTATCCTATAAATTTACGAAATCTTTTGTTTAGAAATAACTCAAATTTATCAAATGTTCATGAATGTAGAAAAAAACGTCATTTTTTGCTGTATATTTATCAAATTTAAAAAAAATGCATTATTGACTTTTTCATGAAAATTGGTACAAATAATCTTCATACGTAATCAAACCGAATGTCATTTTAAAAAAGAGGGGTCCATGAACTCGTTTTCAAGTTAAATCAGTTTGAATGATAAAAATCAGTCGAAAAATACATCTTTTCCCGATATGTCACAGTTTGACGTCGCCATAATAACATTTTACGTTAGCAACGTCATTACCTCCCCTGTAACTGTATCGTATGCCCTTAAAAAGTCAGAATGTGAATGTATATGTTCAAACTCTTTTAGGTCATTTTTTAGTAACAACAAACAAATTTAAAGAACTAAGTTAATTGAACCAGCTTTGATACGATAACTGCACTTGAATTTTTACTAGATAAAATTTTTGTTCGCTATGGAGTTTGCACCACTTATTTCTGTTTTTGTATTGTTATAAGTTACAATAATTTATGACTAAAATCAGCAAAGACCCATCGAAACAACATCTCATACAAAAATCTAATAACACTTTTAGATATTTGGATGATATATTGGCTCTTATAACGAAATATTTGATATAACAGACAGTAAGCACATCACTTTTTTGTACGCATAAGAAACGAATAAACAATTTTTAAATTTTGACATACGCAAGCATTATTCTGTGTCAAATTATTAACTATATGATACAACTTTTAATGTACTAAATACTAGCTATGAACAAAGATACTTGTGATAATACAGTTACGTCATGACATTGCAGTAATTCCAAATACATTTATGGTCCTTATATACCACAAGTATATTACAGTAAGTGACTCAATAATGACGACTTCAGTATTTGGATCCTGCTGAACTGACTTTAAATAAAGCTAATACTAACAATGAATACTGCCCTTTCCTGGATCTTGATATCTATATCTTTAACGGGAAGTTTAATACCAAAATTTACGATAAAAGAGATGATTTTTCATTTCCTATTGATAATTATTCATTTTTAGATGGTGACGTTCCCCTCAGGCTGTCTCCATCTTACGGTGTTTATATATCTCAACTTGTTTGATTCGCTCGTGTATGTAACAACGTATATGATTTTAACGAAAGAAATCTCTGCATTACTGAAAAATTATTACACCAGGGTTTTCGATATCACAAACATTTACTAAATTTTATCATCGGTACAAGGACATCATTCATAAATATAAATCAACATCTTATACGTTCAGGTATTTCACATCCAATCTTTTATGGTAATATTCTCTACAAAGCACAACAAGCACCCCAAAAGCTAACCAAACCTTTAAACAGACTTATTCTGAAGGGGTATAGTTACGATACTGCATGTTGTCATGTCATTTAAGATGGCATTTTTTGGAGTTAATATTGGTTCACTTATAGTGTCTTTGCATCAGAAATAAACACATTTATTCTAAAAGTAGATGTTGACATGACACAGGTTATGTTCTTCTCGTATATTTTATGATGGTATGATACTAATCCCATAACGGGAGAGATTGTGCTTGATTTTCATATGATGAAGACATAATCTTTCAATCAGTTTAATTGAGGTCTGGAGCTAGCATGTCAGTAACTGCTAGTAGTCCTTTGTTAATTTATGTTAACCATTGTGATTTTGCTTAGTTTCTTCTGTAACCTATTTTAACATCGGACTCGGACTTCTTTTAAACAGAGTTTTACTGTGCGTATTGCCGTGTGTTTGTTTATTCTACATTGGCAGAGGTATAGGGGGAAGGGTTGAGATCTCAGAAAACATGTTACACCCCGCCGCATTTTTGCGCCTGTCCTAAGGCAGGAACCTCTCAGGCTGGTCTTTGTTAGTCTTGTAGGTTCTTTTTTAAATTTTGGTTCGGAGTTTAGTGTGACGTCCATTTTCTCTGAACCAGTATACATTTTTGTTTAGGGGCCAGCTAAAACCCGACTCCGGGTGCGGGATTTTCTCGCTGTGTTGTAGACCTGTTGGTGGCCTTGAGCAGTTTTTTGCTCTTTGGTCGAGTTGTTGTCTTTTTGACACATTCCCCGATTGCATTCTCAATTTTGTTACCAGCTTGAATTTATGTTCAGAAGATCCTATAGCGAAAACTCCAAATGTTTATATTGTGTCATTGTTTGTCATTAAAACATTTAACACAATCATAACCAACCTAACCCAACTATGACAAAATCACTATACTAAACGCTCATCGATACAATGACGTTGCTACCAGTGAAGATTAAATAGATAATTTCAGACTACACTCTTTAACTACTGGTTGATATGTTTGCACCTGAAGCGGTATTATCGATAAAATGAAAGATATGTTGAGTATGAACACAAAGGCATATTTTTGTGTGATAAATTGGTTAACCTCTTTTTTAAAGGACAATAAAAAAACAAAAAACTGTCGGACTATAACTGGGATTATTGGTATTTGCACAACTGGTCCGGTGACACAGTTATCGTCCATTGATTTTCGTTGTCTAAATAGAGTCCCTAGTGTGGACAGTGTATCACTTGCAATTTTTATTCATATACCTTCCAAATTTATTTCTTTATATTTTATGCAAAAATAGTAAGTAGGGAGATGAAATTACATGTAAAAAAAATTTGGGGCATGAATTGTTAGGAAAAGTAGTGATTTGGTACAGTTTGAAAAGGTCAAAAATCAGTATGTCTGAAGCTGTCAAACTGAATTACAGACCCCCTTAGCATAAAATGATCCATATTTTTAGTTAGAGCCGATAGACTTTTCTATAATTTTGATATAATTTGTCTAAAAAGAAGAACACTACACTGTAATTTTTTTTTTTTTTTTTTTTTTTTGGCTACAGCAGGTGCAATCTTTTTTTATTTGCGCTTTTTTTTTGTCTAAAAGAAATGCACTACGAAATAACTGTGTTCTCGGGCCATTAATCATTGAAGTATACTCATCATATAAAATGATGTTACACTTCTGGTCAAACACAAGGCTTTACTGTGTGTGCTTTGATAATATAATTTTTATTACGATGATTTAGTATTCTTATTGCGATTTTGTTAATGCAATCTATAAGGAGTAATACATTGTACCATCATTGATTTTCCCCTTATTAGTCTTTGTTAATTTGGCACTTTTCAAAAAATAGTGGAGAATTTATCTTTGTTTCAAATAAAGAAATGCTTGGCATGAGTAAAGTTTTTTCCCGAACAGTAGTACTACAGTGAAAATTTCACATAACATTTCATTGCATATAAGATAATAACCATCACCGGAAGTAAACCAATCAAATCTTCACCCCTTTTTTTCCTGTTTACAAGCTTAGTAACCATGTCACCTGAAGTTTCCAAAATATTTTATAGAAACAACAAATAAAAAAAGAATGGTGCTTTTAAACACCCAAGATATGTGTTGATGACTCAGAAATTTTTTTCTGCACTGAAATGCTGGATTAATTTCCTACAACTGTCAAAATCAAAGGCATTTTTTTTTCGACCCTTTTTCGTATGAAACCGGATGTGACGTACTATGGTTTTGTGGTGTTACGTCTTAAGTATCTCATACAAACACACACAAATTAATAGATAAACACAAAAACAATTAAACAACCGAACCATATTAATTGTTTATCTTCTTTGTTCAGTGAATTTAAATCTTAAAGTGAAAAACATTTTTGTTGCACGTAAAAATCTAAAAAAAGTCATTTGTACCCATCGTAAAGCTATTCGGATGGGTAGTCGTTAAAAAAAAGTTTTACGATTAGTTCGAATTGATAATTGATATACAGAAGATGTTTTACGTACTCTAGTATATAAAAGAGGTAAGAACTTTTTTTTGTTTTTTTTTGACAAAATATTTATTCTATTGTTTCTGCACTATTAAGTAGAGCACTTTTCTAAAGTTGCAAAAAACAAACAATATTATCGAACGTTGCTATTTTACCTAGTATGTCGTTGGGGAATATTCAAATCAAAAGAGCAACATCGTAGAGATAATGCAGGCTTTTATAAAGTCTGGAGTTGATCCCCGTTCTGTATGCAGTTCCGACTTACTCTATCATGACACTGGTCTTTTTATATTGCTGATGAAATATTGAATTCCTGTGATCAATCGTCTTTTGTATTAATTCACGTGACGAACACAGAAAGAAGAATTACAAAAAAACAGTATCGCATATTTGTATCCATGAAATAAATTGTTGGATTAATTATATCACGTATTCGTTAACAGTACATTCCAGAGTAATCTATTATAGTCCGTTTATCTCCAGGAAATACATCATCCATCGCCTGAACATAAAAACAGTATGAAAAAAGATAACTCGACAAATGAATGTTAAAATGATTTCGATAAATAAATAAACAGTGAAAAGACATTGAGAGGAGAACAAAAAGCAGTGAACGGTAGGTAGATATTTAGATTTTTGAATCAAATACAAAGTATGTGACCATGATCTCAGATTAACATAAGTTATTTAAACAGAATTGAACTTGTAGTTCTTACTTCGATTAAACTAATAAGTATTATTAACAAAGTTACATAATGTTTTCACTAAAACTTTGTATCCTTATTTTAAAAAATACGATTAGAAAAACATTGATACATGAAAAGAAATGTTTGGAAGTTGTTGTACGAGATAGCTACCAAACGGCGTAATATATTAAAAAGCTACCAAAAAGTCAACATACTGTCTTCAGCAAAAGACCGATGTATATTATACAATGTGTCAAATGTTGAGTTCATATATAGTTTGATAAGATCTCTCACCCTTTCAAAGTCTATCATTGAAATAGCTAAAGGTACATATAAAATAACAAAAATACAAATCAGTAGAGGAAAAACAACTATTTTTGACTAAAATACAGTAAAAAAGATAACAACAGCATCGTTACATGTATTAAAGAATGCTTGCCGTTATTGGAAGTTAGCTTTATTTACATTACCTCTTAAAAATAAATCCTTTCTTCCAATACTCAATTGCTGTATGAAGCTTTCAAACAGAAAGGGAATAAATAACACAAATGGATAATTTGTGTGCAATTCAATGAACAAACTCTACAGAATTTCGATGTAGAAAAATAAAACAAAAACAGTTTAGAGCATCTTTAAACAATAATGTAGCGCTTTACCTCGTATATTTAGAGAAATTCTATCAGCTACATTTGTAGATATCAACATATATTGTAATAAATATCTGTGAAGTGGTGAAACCTTATGGAGGTTTGCTTTAAACTGTGATTCCTAACAGTAAAAGAATACATCTTCAATTAGAGAGACACATGTCCTCATCAGAATACCAATTAATCACTTTCAAAATCTAATGGCTTTAATCAATTCTTTGCATGTCCAGTAAGTGTATTTTTGTAAGTTTTACTACTAAAAAAGAAAATCCAGTATTGTTGTATGGTTGCCATTTATTAAGTAAGAAAGGTTACTAGACTTGATACGATTTTGTAGTATTGAAGTATACAGATTAGATAAAATATTATTGTAAACGAAGGCATTGTCAAAGTGGCCTCCACAGATATGTAGGAGATAATAATGCAGATAAATTTAGCTCCTCCAAAACTTCTGAAGAATATTTTGACGTTCTATATCGTACGGTGACCTACGGCTGTTTAAATCCGCGTCATTAGGACGTACTTTATTGGATAGCTGTCTATTTTTTATCATACAACATCTCCTTATTTTGTATTCTTATCAGTTGTCACAGCACAATTCAAACAACGACAAAGTTGTTGGCTACTTTGTCAGCAGGTGCAGTGCTTTTTTGTTTTTGGGGAGTATTTTTTTAAGTCTTGATATCGCTTAAAGGAGCATTAGCTGTCAGTTCAACCAATTTGACTTATATTCCCGTATTTTATTTTTAATAATAACATGCTAAAACATATATCCAAATTATAAAGTATAAAATAAACAATTTACGATACATTGACTCGATAAGAAGCATCAGCATTTCGTGTGTATCTTAGTATAGATATAAATATATAGCGAACATGTGCAATTGGATTTTTCTAGGTCTGTTTGATAACATATTAAAAGTTAAAAAATATGTTAATCACCGTATTTACCTTATTAGAATGAGTTTTTGTAGATCAAAACAGTCAACCAAATGTTTATGCGTAACCAATCTCTAGCTAAGGGGTTAAATTGAAGGTCACATGAATATGGATTTAATGAGGTCGAATTATTCACTTGTAAATGAATAATTCATCAGCCATGTTTCTTAGCTTATTTTGAAAAAAATTGAACCAAACTGGCTGTTAAAATCGAATTATTATTTCACTGTTTCACTTTCATCAATGGTTGAACAAAACAAAAAATGATATTGTATAAAGTAACTTTCGGAATGATAATTACAGTTTATTTCAGAAAGAATTCTTATTTTCTTAACTTGGATTTTCCTTTCTATATTCGTTCAATATCATTCACCATTTTGAATGCAAAAAAAAGTGGCCTTATTTAGATCACATCTGCACATAGGCACACACACTAACCATGCTAACCAACGATTAAGATTGTGTTTCATTTTTTATATTGTTCCTCAAAAATAAGTATGACATGTACGAATATGATTTTCACAAGATTACTAGAGATTCGGTTCACACTCTTTTTAGTGTAATTTATCAAAAATATTATGACTGTGTATTTGATATTGGTACTAAGTTATAAGAAAGGCTTTAATGTCCTTGACAGACAACATTTGATTTCTTTGAAATAAAATGTAAAATGTATAAATAAGAAGATGCGGTATGAGTGCCAATGAGACAACATGTACATGTATATAAAAGATAAATGTGTAATTATGTGATTTCAAGTACTAACACATGTCAATTGTTCGTGTCTTTAATTGTTAATTGTGTAATATTTGATTTATTTCATTTTTTTTTTAAATGAGAGCAGATCTGATTCTTCATATATATATTTATAAATATCGATTTTTCAATCTTTCAGAAGGTGTCCTACATAAATATTACATAAGAATTCAACCTATGCCAAATATGTAGACTAAATACATGTCTTAAAACTTAAATTATTTACTTCAGTAGGTTGATTGATAACCAAAACACCTCGTAGCTTAAAGGGCAATAGGGTATTGATCGAATGGTATTTTAAATTTGTTTGAATAGTCCAACATTTTTTAAATTCTTTTCATTGTGCGGTTGAACCTACTTAATGAAAATACTTTTAATTGTCTCACCTCTATATTGCAAAATATCAAATAGTCGATAAGATCCTAATATAAAGAAATGTGTTGAAAATATTTCTTTAAGAAAATTACAAATTATGATTTTAATCTTCATGTGCTAGGACTCGAACAACAATTTTTAATTTAATTGTTACTTGCATTTCCTCGCTGGTTTGTATTGAATTCCAAAGATATACTGCTGCAAAATAGCAATCCAACGCTCATGTATGGCGCTTTTCAGTTGTTTGCTAAATAGCTGTTTCAGCGCTTTGTGGTCGCATTCCATTCGTATTCTATAACAAGCAGCTTTGCTCGTAGGTGTGATGAACATTCTAAGCCCTTTTCAACTGATTTTTATAGTTTGTTCTTATGTTGTACTGTTACACCACTGTCCAAGGTTAGGTAGAGGGTTTGGCGCCAGCAAACTAGTTAAACCCCGCCACATTCTGTATGTGCCTGTCCCAAGTCAGGAGCCGGTAGTTCAGTGGTTTTCGTTGGTTCAAGTCTGTCATATTTGGTTTTCGCATATTGTTATGTTATAAATGAGGCCGTTAGTTTTTTCAATTGAATAGTTTCATATTTTTTATGTCGGGGCTTTTTATAGCCGACTATACGGTATAGGTTTTTTTCATTGTTGAAGGCCGAACAGTTGCCTATAATTGCTTCCATCCACTTCATTTGAACTTTGGTGGATAGTTGTCTCATTGGCAATAATACCACATCCCCTTATTTTTATATTCTAGAACGGCTGTAACCATGCGAAGTAATTTTAGTTTTGTTGAACCGGTTGATTTCTGCTATTTACTTAGTGCCTTAGATTCGAATCGTATAACACGAATTTCATCAGTTTCAGTCATTTTCTGGTATAGCATGTAAGCAATGCCTTTACAAAAATAGTCTACAGCCAGTCTACAGGCAAATTGTAGTCTGGAAAGGTCAGAACAGGAGAATTCAGCAGGAGTAATTTAACATTCTGAAACGCACATTGTTGTTTATCGGTCCAGCTATAACGTTCATTTTTCTTTAATAGACTAGATAGAGGTTCCATTCCAGCACTGGAATTCTTCTTGTATTTTCTAAACCAACTAATGAAACAACAAGGCGACGTAACTTTTTGACACTTTTTGGTAAAGTGAAATCACCGATGGCTTGAACACGGTCCGGTGGTGGCTCTATTCCTTTATTTCAAATTTTATGACCTAAGTATATACAAGAAAGTACTAAAAACATATTCCGTAAATCTTCAATACGTTGATCAAATGTTTCGGATGCAACAAGGGTATCATCAAGTTTGCACAAACAGAGTTTAAAGGTAAATCCTTTAAGAACTGTGTCCATCAAAAGCTGAAAAGATGCTGACCATGAGTTCAGTCCCATCGGTAATCGTAAGAATGTGAAAGTACCAAAACATGTATTGAAGGCTGTGTAACGTTGACTTTCTTTTGAAATTGAAGTCTATTGAAGTCAGGAAATTCTGTCTTTTATTTGAAATTTAGATATCTAAAGTCGCAGCTTTGCCTTTTTTGTTCGTTCTCTTCGACACAAGTAAAACCAGACTTGTAATGGGACATCTTCAGTTTCGTAACCGGTGCAATTACTCTTGAGAATGTAAAAATTCCATCAATGTCGATTTCTGTACTTCAGTTAAGTACAAAAATGTATTCGGGAATATTGGAATAAGAAATGAATTTAGAATTGATCTCATTACCCATATTCACCGGTTTAGTCGACAATTGAATATTTTGAACAAAATGAGTGTCTTTATTATCACTTAAAGGCGTACATACAGGATCCTTGGAAAATGGTTCAAATGTACAGTTTCATTGGTAAAATTTAGTATTTTAATCGGGATTTGTTTCTTTCGATTCACTACAGCTTTTAATACAACGACTCCTCGGTCTTTAGATATTTTAGAAGTACATATACCTTGCATTCCGTATTGGACTTTTCCATTAACTTGTTCCAAAATAAGTACTTCTGAATTCGGAGTTATAGACTTTGAGTGAAAACCTTGAATTGTTTGTTTTATGCAAAAATTACTTAAGTCAAGAACGATATTCTTGCAAAATAAATAACGCGTTCCTCAAATTAAAGGATGTAATGTTTGCACTTAAAGATATACAGGAATCCAGTGCTTTCCCTGAAATTTCCATGAAATTTTAGCATAAGCAGTTCCATAAATTTACACCGTTTGATTATTCGCTAAAGTAATTTTATCATATGTAACACTACACTATGACTTCATGGAATCGGGTACCGAATTAAAAAATTGCGAAGACATCACATTTATTGAGCTACCTGTATCCATTAATGCTGAAATTTCAGGATTTGCAGTTCACAAAGGCGTATACAAAAATTTACAAACAAATGCTGAATCTTCGCTGTTTGTATATTAAACTGATGCTGAATAATTATTGTTGTAAAATTTATTTTGTTCGTGGTCAGAATCAGGCACAGTTTAATTAGAAAGGTTAATATGGGCAGACTGGTGTACAGATATTTCATTCATATTGCCGCCCCGGGGATCCTGCCCTGTGAACCCCGGCTCCCTCCGGTTTCCTGAATACACACTGTTTACTCTTATGGCCCGTTTGTCCACAAATAAGACAAATAAATTGAGAATCTATGCTGCCCCGTTCATTCCAATTGTAGGCACGTGCAAAGTGTTCAGGTGCTTCACATTGACAACACAATTCACTATCAGATTAAGATACTTGACGATCTCGGTTTCGAGGACCAGGAAAATTAATTTTTATTTCCTTTTACTGCACGAGTACGGTCTTGTTGCTGAGTAATATCGGTGGCAAGTTTTGACACAGCTTAGACTGTTAATTTGTCCTTGTAATTTACTAATCACATCAGTTTTAAAATTGTTTAAATCTTTCGCAGCATCATGCGTGTTATCGGCGGTTTTAGTAGCAGCAGCTACGAGCGGTGTATCGTCCTTTCGATAGCCGTAATCTTCACCCATTTTGGCAGCTGCAAGGCAATTTGCGCTATCACTATGGTTACCTGCCCGAACAAAAAAGGTGAGCTAATCAGGCAGTCCCTTTATAAATTTAATCAGAATTTCGTAATCAGTTTTGCGCAAAATTTTTGCTTTTTTAAGTAGTTGAGCTAAAAAAATCGCCAATGAATTGCCCTTTGGAAAGTTTCAACGTTTCGAATATTTCACCTTCAAGAAGTATAATTGGACTTCGAAAGTCAACATCGACATACTGTTTCTTGTAAACATGTTCAAAATTTTGCCATTATTGTTTACTGTCGGCTGAAAGAGTATTGAATCAAGTCAGAACTGGGCCTCAAAGGTGCACATGCAAAGCGGCAACTTTTCTAGTATACTCTTTCGGTAATATATGATGCAACACGACATAAGACCCAACGCACTCAAAAACTGAACAGAATTGTGTTTGAAACTTGATATTTTAGGTTGGACTTTGTATAAAATATTGGAAGAGACAACGCTATTTGGTGTACTAATATTTGTTAAATCAGAAGTTTGAAACTTATTGATTGGTGTCCAGTCAGGAGTAGTTGGTGTCTGTATATTTGAAGGCAAATTAAATGTATCATGTGAATGGTCTAGAGAAGGTTGCAATACATATCCAATGTCTGGTTCTAATTCGTGTGCTATTTGATGAAACAATAGAAAGTTTTCTGATAATATGGACTTATTGTCTGATGACGACATTTACTCAATAAAAACACAATATTTTACAACACCGAAAAATAAGTTTAGTTTAAATATATTCTATTTGCTCATAGCAAAAAGGATCAGACACAAGTAAACATACTTATAAATTCTTCTCCACAATACAATATATAACAATACTAAACTATACTGAAAAAAAGCAAAGGAGAGGAAGAAAGAAAAATAAGTAATGAGAACAATCTCGCATACTTTATCTAAAAATACTCCGCTGCATGTACACGAGTAGAAATGAGATAAATCTCACATTCTACATAAACGAAACAAATACAGCCAATGCTTATTAGTTTATTTATAAATCTGTATTTTTTGCAATCTTCAATTATCCTAAGTTAGATTCGACTAGACCACAAACGTGTCAAACATGAATGTGGAAGAATTCTGTCTATATATAGACCATACATATTTGAATAAACAGACGGACGGCAATAATGTTTTCTGACTTTAAGCAAGTCCAAACCAAAATCTGGTGAATGCATACGAAGCAAAATATTTGTCAATTGACCTCGGCAACCTGTCATTGTCATAATTTGTCTTGCACACGAAACTGCTCCGGTTGAGGGTGTATTTGAAATAAATTCAAAGAGGCACTTGATGAAGTTTCTTGTCTAAATTACGTGTATGTGTGGAAAAATTGTGTTATAAATTGAACATTTGTTCGTATAAGTCACTGATCAAAATGCTCTCATAATTTATCAAATTTGTCCTGCTTCCACATTAACGAAAAATAACAACCCCGTGTCTAGTACTCGTGTACGGGGTGTACATGTAAAATGAACGGGAGTCACATTCTTAGAAATAAAATTAAATGTGTCCTTTAGAATTTAATTAAGTTTGTGAGGTAATTTGTCCAATTTTAAACATCAATAAACTCACCAAAAATATGTGTTCAAACCTACATGTATTATAAGATTCTCGAAGCTTGACTTTGAAATGATAAAATTCTAAATCATAGATATTTTCTGTAAAACGGAAAATGAAAAAAATGAAACCAGTAGTACATGTATATGAATGAAGTCCAAATATACTACTTTTTTATGATTAAACAAAACAAATAAACAATAGTAATAATACACAATGGATTTGGATGACAGTAAGTGGCCAATAAGGGTAAACAATTTGTAATAGATCAGCTGGATACTATTTCGCAATTTTTATAATTATCAACGTTGAACAATCTTCAAGTTGATTGTTTCAAAATATGAAATAAAATAAAGGTTGTTAACGTGTTAAGGAAACGAGAAACGTTCCTTTCTAAAACTGGGATTATTTTTTTTATATTGTTTGTACAATGTAAGTTCTAGATCAGTGTCCCAAAGTCAAACTAGATAATGTTTTGCCTGTAATTTCTGTAAATGATTATAGATATAAGTTTTAGAAAATCAAATCATTTAAATTTGATTTGGATTAGTTTTGTGCTCTATCAAATTTATATAACTAACATATACCGACTGAATTGATAATATATAACTATTACTTAATTCTAATTTATGTAAATTTAATGTCCAAATTCCCAATAATGACTTTTAAAATATGTTGTCTTTTTAGAAAATGACTAGATATTGGAACTATTTGAAACAGAAATACACCAAAGTTGGAAAAGTGAAAGCATGGAATTCGAGCATCTATATATAATCGCTCTGGCGATCTTAAATCGATGCATGCTTCACTTCCGTTTTCAGAAAATACTATAAGGTCTCACATTGCAAACAAAGTTAAAAAATTTGCATTTTGAAAAGTAAGTATTATTTTAGTAAACGATTTTTTTCTAAATCAAATGTGTTTGAATAATAGAAAGATGCACAATTTCATTATAATGTTTCCTTCTGCAATTGACCACCTCTCTACATCTTGCATGTAATTTGTGTAATTTAAGTCTCGGAACAAAAAGTACTTTGGAAATTCTTATAAGTGAGGATCACTCAGTTTCATAATCATTAGGATGAAATAAACAGCTGGCTGATAATTAAAAGCACACTTAAATTCTAAAAAAAGATGCAAAAACGTGATAGCAATAACACATCAATATGGAAAAGGAATGGATGAAGTTATATGGTCAACACTTATTACATATATGCTGTAAGTATGTTGTCTAGCGCAAAACAAATCTTTATTTTCTTACTGACATAGATAACTTCGTTTACGATATAGTTACTTAAAAGTGAAAGAACGCAATGTAAATTTATTGTTTATTTGAATGTAAAATCGACTTTCACTTTCGTCTGGGCAATCCATTCAATTTAAATACTTTAGTATTACCTTTACTGTTGTTGGTATTACGATGTGTTTTCAGGTGGGACTGTCTATCGCTTAAATATACAATTTTAATCATGGTAAATATTAAATATTTACAACATATAACTGTGAAATTATAAAATTTACTGTGATGAAGACGTTCTTTCATTTCATTATTGTTATATAATAGGGAATGCATTTTTGTTTCTTCATATTGACGACCAAGCTTTTTTCAACTATTGTATAACGCCAGGTAGTAATGTTTTATAAAAATATATAATATTTGGCATACAAAGTCTGCTCCAGTAGTGGACAATTACAAATTGGACTTCGTTGAACAATGGATATGTGCGTGCCTATGGGAAGGAGAAAAAGATATAAACTGATCCATATAAAAATAGGGATATGCGGTGTGATTGCCTTTGAGACAACTATCCACCAGAGTTCAAATGAAGTGGATGTTACCAATTATAGGCAATCATATGGCCTTCGGCAATGAGAAAAACACATACCGTATAGTCGGCTATAAAAGGCCTCGACATGAAAATTATGAAACAAAATAAACTAGACAACTAACGGCCTAATTTATAACAAAACAATTTACGAAAAACAAATATGACCGACATGAACCAACTACAACCACTGACCTCCAGATTCCTGACTTGCGAGCGGCACAGAACAAATGTGGCGAGCTTAAACATATTTTTGAGCGCTCAACCCTCCACCTAACGTTGGACAGTGGTGTAACAGCACAACATAAAAGCAAACCGTATAAATGAGTAGCAATTAGCTTAACTTAAAAGATCGGTACGAGGTACGAAAACAATTAACATAAAACAATATACAAAGCACCGAAATAAGAGTACTCGCAGTTACTGAAAGATAGTTCAAAGCCAATAACAGCTAATAAATAATTCATGTTCTATCAGTATCAATTAGTACACATCCAACAGATTTACTGTAAAAACGTCATAAACAGGTCTGATTAACGCATGACCGTGTGCAATACCAAAATATAAGGAAGCAGTATCGACAGGGATAATGAGTTGTTATAACTGTACATATATAAAACGTAATGGCAATATATATTTAGTTATATTTTAATTTTCAAAAAACAAAATCAATGTTTATACCAATAAAATAATATTTTAAGATTTTAATACTATGTTAAATTGATAACCTTTCAGAGTAAGTTTATTCTAAGGTCAATTAGTTTACATATATCGTTTCTAAATTTTCGGGCTTTATAAACATCACCGTAAAATTAGGATCTGATTTCGCGATTTTGATAAGAAATCTACAGGTACATCCAAACTTCCCAACCAAATCTTTGTATATATGAGAAGAATTTGGTAAATGTTTTAATTTTAAAATTTGTGGTAACTAAATCCATGACTTAATAATTTATCAGTTATACATTAATTACGTTCATTGAAATATAAAACGCAACTACAGACAGGGATAAAGCGAACAAGTTGCGAGATATATTCATCGTGAGAAGGGGTTAAAGGAACATCACGGTTTAAAAAGGGAAAATTAACAATCCGGAAAGAAACATCGTCTCTTTTGTCATAATTTGTTGTAAAAGTTTCCCATGTGAAACTGCAATATCCAAATCTAGACAATTTTTGCTGTCTATAGTAGAATCATTTGAAGTAAGTTCCTTTGAGTAAATTTCCGCAGTAAAATTTTTAAAATCTTGTTTATTTAAAGCAAAAATATCATCAAGGTAACGGTACATGTAAGTGTTTTTAAATTTATCATCTAAATGTAATTTAGACGGATCTTTACTGAGTTTGGCCATAACCTGTGATTCATAACAATACAGGAACAAGTCTGCTACTAAAGGGACTCAATTGGTGCCCATAAAAATACCTACAACCTGTCAATAAACTTTATTGATGAATCGTACATAGATGTTGTCCAGAAGAAAATTTAAACCTTTTCTCATCTCATCACAGTTCAAGTAAGTATACTTATCTAGCATATCTCGCTTTTTCAATACAGAAGCAGGCTTTCTATGAATTATAGCAAATAAATCTGCCACCAGATTTTTCGAAGGACCTTTTAATTTAATAAGAGAACTTCTGTTCGATGACATTGTGTGGTAGTGTTGTGTACAGGGTCGAAAAATCATAACTGTCAACTGAAATCAACGGACCATCGATAGCACGTTATTTATCCAAGCATCCAAAGATTTGTTTACCGTCCAACAATATGACATTCCTTTATTTTCATATGCTTTATTATAAGGTTTGTAATAGTTGTGACAAACATTTCCAAATTTTCTCAAGAACAGGGCTATTCGACTATTTTTAACTGAAAATGCAGCTAACGCTCATAGCTAGGAATAACCATAATCCTGGTAGACGAAATATGTGACATTTGAGATCATATATTTATTATTATAATCGACTCTCAAATGATTGCTATATGATATAATAAGCAAATGCGTTCATTCTTGCATCCGGATTTTTTTTTTTAACTCTTTGGCTTTTTTATTTATTTCACAATGTCCTCATATTCCGAAAAGACAGATACCGCAGCCAGCACATAATGAAATTCCTTTATATATATATTTATTTTCACTTAGTACACAAACATAATGTCCTGCATGTTGTTGGCCAAAATATCCATTCTCATCATGCCATCTCTCCCCATCAAAACCAAATGGTCGTCCTTACAAACAACAAAAATTGCAAAGAGTCCGCAAACAGAGTCTGCAGATATGAATTATATTACTGACCATGACTTCCAAGCTACATATTCGATTTTTATTTACAATATTGTGACAAAACACAATCCAAGTATAATAACTGGACTCTGCAAGAAAAAGACATGAGACAACCTGATTACTATAGGTCACTCGCAAAATGTCTTTGGGATTGTTTTAAAGGATGTTGCTATATATAGTAACTGTTTTTAACTTTTGTAAATACATAAAAATGAGTTATCCTTCAAATGTTTTAAAAAGATGTTCATACAGTGACACACAATTAAAATGATAAAGAATACAAAATACAGTATAATACAGGATTTCTTATTACCCGTTTATTTTACTAACCGTTTTCTAGAAGCAACAGTGCCTATAACAAATATCATTGTCATTATGTATAGTCCTATAATATAAGACTTCGGAGTTTCGTATCATTTACATTCAACGTTTTTTATCGAATATTTTTTTTTTACTATCAATGTTGAAACCCGAAGTCTTATCGATAGATGCTATTTTCTCGTAGCAAATTTTAAAATTAATAACCCACTCCAAAAACTAATAAAACTAATAGGAACAACATTAAAATGTATGAAAAGTATCTCTTACCGTCTTTAAATTGCACAATTATGTTCCTAACTCATCCTTTTTTTTCGAAGCTGACAACATTTTTCATCTCGCCATTTTATTTCAAAACATGTGCCGAATCTATATTTATAAGAATGCGTGAAGAAAACGAATTTGACGGTAATATTAAAAGAAGGCTTTGTGCAAGAAAGGATGATTTATTGTTGGTAGCTTAGCTTAGCGCAAGTGGCAAATAGTTCATGCATGTTGAGAACGAGAAAAGATAACCAATACATACAATGGGTATGTTCTGTAGTAATGGTCAAATGGGATGCATGTCCGGGAAATTTCATATAAGCCATAAGCCACAAAATGTTGCCATATCTAGGAAATTTGGACTGACACTGGAAAATGAGAGTACATTGAATAGGGACCGAAATTTTGCCTTGCAACAGGCCACATGCGGATCCCTCAATGAGGTTGTTGTCCGGGGTTGTTGTAGAAGTTCTATAAGCGTGGTATTCTCTCTCCACAAGGCATCAACGTCCCATTCTATTAAGACGGGGCTGTGTATGTATACATCCCGTACAGCTAAACGGACAACCCCTTTGGCAAGTTTTCAACTGGAATGTAGGACAGAAAGTCACAGGACAAAAAATCATAGACAAAAAGTCACGGACAAAAAGTCAGAGGACAAAAACTCACTATTCAGTTCTGAGATTATTTTTCTTTAAATAATAAAACACTTATACGTTTAAAAAATCATTTTTGTGTGTTTCTTGAACTATTATATATAAAGCAACTCTGTAATTAGAATGTATTCAATAAATATTTATAATAAGGAATGGGTCGCTCATCCAAGTTGTATGAACTTGTATATTGAGAAACTTGCATCGTCTCGCCCGCTTTTACAACTTTAAATTAATTTGTGATGATGCTTAACAACTTAGACCAGAGAACACCTGGTGAATGACTATTGGCTAGCTCACCACTGTTGTAATAACTCGTATGTGGAAAGGAATGTATCAGCTTGTCACGGTCCACTCTCACAATAATTTTTTTTTTGTTGAACTTAACAACTCCTAGAGTATTTACTAGTAACTTAGATATAGAAAATGGAAAAATCGGTTTTATTATACTAAACAATATTGTCATAAACATATGCACATTCGTGGATCTACAATCTGTCAATACCTGTATCTTGGCATTGCACAAGGTCATGT